AGTAGCTGGGACTACAAGCATCTGCCACAACACGCAGCTATTTTTGGTTGCAGTTTGACTGGGGCCGGGTTTGAACCTGCCACCCTTGGTATATGGGGCCAGTGCCCTACCCACTGAGCCACAGGCACAGCCCAGGAATATTTTTTACTTTTCTTTGTTTTGTTTTGTTTTTTTGGGTCTCACTGTGTCACCCTTGGATAGAGGGCAATGGCATCACAGCTCACAGCAATCTCAAACTCTTGGGCTCAAATGATTCTCTTGCCTCAGCCTCCCAAGTAGCTGGGACTCCAAGTGCCCACTACAATGCCTGGCTATTTTTTGTTGTAGTTGTCATTGTTGTTTTAGCAGACCTGGGCCAAGTTCGAACCTGCCAATTCCAGTGTATGTGGCCAGCGCCCTAACTACTGAGCTACAGGTGCTGAGCCTATTTTCACTTTCCACCTAAGGAAATGGTATAAGACTAATGGAAAAGTCATACAAGACTAGTGGAAAAGACATACTTTATTCTGTGACGTACTCAGTCTCACATATACTCCTAATGAGATAGAAATATCTTTGATTATCCTTGGAAAACACTGTAACAGTGTATTTTGTATATTCATTAATTATATATATGCCTATATTTCTCAAAACACTTATGCTCATTTTATTCCCTTCCAGATGTGGTTACTATGTTGTGTTACGGATATACTGTATACAACAGTCTAAGAAAATAATTGCTTTTTGGTGAGATCTGTTTCATTGGGAGGTCTTTTGGGAAGAAATATGGACCAGTGTTGTCCAAAAAAATTATTTTAATCCACTGTCTCAAAATCCCATTGCAACATCTAATACATATAAAAAAAATTAGTGAGATGTATTATTATTCCTTTCATACTGGTTTCAAAATCCAGTTTATATTTTATAGTTACAGCATATCTCCATTTAGACTAGCTGTATTTTGGGTGCTTCTTAATAGTTACATGTGGCTAGTGGCTACCTTATTGGGCAGTGTATATATAGAGTAGAGCTTATAGAGCAGTGTTTTTCAACCTTTTTTTTTTATCTCACAGCACACTTGAACCTGTAGTTAAACTTCCATAGCAAACTATGTTCAAAAAAAGAGTAAAAGAAAAGAATATACTTAGTATACTTTGAAGTTCTTTCAAAAATACTTGAATTAATTAATGGTCTTTAAAAATGTTTGAGACACACCTAAAATTTTCTTATAGCATACCAGTTTGCCACAGTACACCAGTTGAAAATCACTTCTATAGAGTGATGACATGGTAGCTTTTTGTTTGTTTTATCTAACAGTTTGATTAGAAATGATGAAGAGGACAAAGTACTAGACCTAGAGTTTAATCTAGTCTCTAACTTTGTTATGTGACCTTGGGGGAAATCACTTAGTCCTCTGGTTCTTTCATCAGTAAAACTAGAGGTACTTGACATCTGCTTCCTGAGTGTTGTAAAGATTAATAGGTTAATGTTAGGAAGATGCCTGGCAGTGCTCTGAGCATTTTATCACCTTCAGCTTTTCTGTTTAGGGGGAGGGTGGGGATTTAATAGGATCCAGGATGTAATTGAGGTCTCTTCCATATTTGCAGTTGACTCTTCTTTATGTGTATGTATAATTTAAGTTATATTGGAAGATTTTAATACAGCGATACGTAGTTGCTCATGAAAAGGCAGTTTGGGCACAAGGAGTTAAGGACCCTTTAAAGTTAAAATTTCTAAGTTTTAGAGTTGAAACTTATTTTTAGCTTTCAGTCTGATATTTGTTCCTACCTTTTAGTCTACCAGTCGGGCTTCTCCAAAATATGGTTATGCTAACTTTTTGGAAAGACAAAAAACATCAAATAAGGCATACATGAATCTCCCTTTAAAATAATTTTCAGGAACTGTTGATGATGTACACCAAGGCTTGACTTCTTCTCTTCGGTGTGGTAGAGGATTTCCAGTATTAGTTGAGAACAGTAACCATACATAGAGGGTACACACAAGCAACACAGGAAATGGATAGTAACCAAACTTCAAATAAAAAATTTGCCAGGATAAAGCAAATTACACTCATCTAATTTATGTTTTTAAAGTAGATAGGAATTCTCTTATAGACTTTGTAATAAGCCTACATAGTTTTTGTGGAAATTCTGAGAATATCCAGGGTCAAATAGAGTATAAAATATGTTAGAAAAATAATTATAGCTTATACAAACATAATTTTGAGAAAACATCTTACCCTAAATATGAAAGAATGTTAAAATGCTTCATAATTAGAAACTTGAGATTGTTCACCCAACATACAATGGGAAGTCAGCTTGAACTTTTTTAAAAAGGTTGTGGTT